GGTTCTGGATTGCTGAAGCTTTCAGTATATCCATGTATCAAGTTGCTTCGTCATCAATCACCAAAGGACTGTCTCCCGGTCTGGCTATCACTGCTGTCCTCGTTGGACATCTCTTAGTTTGTATACCTGCGATGCTTAACGGTTATATCGGATGCATATATGGAATAAACTTTCCAGTGCTGATGAGGTCGACCTTCGGTGTGTGGGGAGCATACTTTGCTGTCTTTGTTCGAGGAGTTGTGGCATGCATTTGTAAGATTCTCTGCCCCTACGACAGATCACACACTAACATTCTCAGGGTTTGGAACTCAGAGCTTTCAAGGAGGACAATGCATCCAGACAATGTTACAAGCGATATGGCCGTCTTTCAAGAATTTTCCTAATCACATCCCAGCAAGCTCGCACGTCACTTCAGCACAGATGCTCTGTTTTTTCCTCTTCATCATCATCCAACTACCTCTTCTCTGGCTTCATGTATCGAAGCTGAGGTTTTTGTTTATGGCAAAGACAATCGTTATGCCTATCTTTGGAATGACGTTATTCATCTGGGCTTTGGTCGCTGGTAAGTGATGTTCTTGAGTCTACAGGAACTTTTCTAACCGAACAACAGCAAAGGGATTCGGTCCGACTTTCTCCAAAGGCACCAACATTCTCGATGGCACGCCAGTCGCGGTTGTGTTCTTCCAATGCGTGACAACTACTATTTCACCAAAAGCTACGCTCGCCTTGAACATGCCCGACTTTACTCGATATGCCAAATACCCTCGTCAAGTGTTCTGGACCCAAGCCGTTGGACTATGCATTCTGGTTACTCTGTGTGGAATCTTAGGAGTGACGGTTACTTCTGCCTGCCAAGAGATATATGGTGTCACGACTTGGAATCCCTTACAGGTCTCACTCCTCTGGGAGAACCGCGCAGCACAATTCTTCTCGGCTCTATGCTGGATGTTCGCTGTCATCGGAACCAACATCTCAGCCAATTCCGTCTCCTTCTCTAACGACCTTTCCCTCTGGTTTCCCACATGGATCAACACTAGAAGAGGTGCCTATGTCTGCTGCATCATTTCGATTGCTGCCACACCATGGAATATTCAATACAGTGCGGCATCATTCTCTGCATTCCTCGGTGGCTACGGGATGTTCCTGGGTCCCATCGCTGGTATCATGATGGCCGATTTCTGGGTCCTACGAAATCGACACTTGAATCTTGCGTCCTTATACCGCCATCCCGATATTTACAGTTTCTTCCATGGTTTTAATCTTCGAGCGTTCCTTGCTTTCGCTTGCGGCATTGCGCCTAATCTTGGGGGCTTGGCTCGAGCTACTGGTAATCTGAGTGTGCCAAAGACTGCATCATATGTCTACAGCTTGAGCTGGCTTATTGGTACAGTGGTTGCTTTCACGATCTATATTATCTTGGGAAAGATCTGGCCAATGGAGGAGAAGTTTGAAGAGGGCCAGGTTATGGACGGTGTGGATGGCTCCAGTCTGGGAGTCAGCGACGAGGAGGGCAAAGGCGCTGGGGAGAGTAGAATCAAGGCCTTTTGAGAAATGATGTACTTAACGCAATGCCACATCTTGGGTACGTCTCCTAAGATAATGACAAGTGATTTGAAAAGATGCGAGACTGCTTGAATAGTTCCCTCGAGAAGACATCATTCCGAAGCAAAACACTTGCAAGTTATTACAGAGGTAGAAGGCGAAAAATAACAGTCAGTACGGCATCAATGAATTGAGTCTGATGTGCAGCTGCTTACAGGTTTCGGGACCGAGTATCAACGACTTCGGAAATCGAGAAAATATTTCCTTATCTCGTTGTCCTAGCCACGTCACTTCCTTGCCCTAAAAGCTTTCCAAGCTTAGGTAGGTGAGTAGCTTGGGTAGCTATCCTCCCCATTCCACTATCAAGTCTATGTTTTTATCTGCCGCCAGCCGAGCATCGAATCAGTGGTGGGGTGAAGCGGGGTCGGCGTCCCGTCGTGGAGACGTGCGGGGATGACTGGGGTGAATGTGTTTCTCCGACTGCGCTTTGTTTACCTTACTGTACTTGTCGGTAACTAGCTCCAATCGGCTGTATACTTCCTTCGCTTCCATCTCGGTCCTTCTTTTATTGCATCTTCCTTTTTTTGCATGCTTGGCATCCATGTCGAACGAAAGTCACCCGCGGCTGGCCTCGCCATGCTTTGAACTTGTCCATTCATTTTTACAATTTTTGTTTGCGCTCCCAAAGCTACATTCCGCTGCTCTTAGCTCGCCATTTCAAAAATTAATAGGTCATGTTTCTAGTTAAAATACTTATCCGAGTTCGGGCAGCAGCGAATACGTTTCTCCATGGTACGGTGCCGTATGGCAACTCGTGATTTGTGTCTCTAGGTCCTCATCGAATGCAGAAGAGGGGCCATAGCAAAGTGGGTTTCCAAGGATGGCTTTTCTAGAGAACATGGCTCGGGTCCGAATAAGCCATTTGAAGTGGGTTCCTTGCCTTTTAGATCAATAGCTTCTTACTCTGCTCGTGGCTATATATGCTCGATCATGCCCAGGCAGGCTTCTTTTAGCCAAACATCAACAGAGTGTGATTTGAACCTCTTTTGTCAAAGTCTGATCCCTTGCTCGCCAACAATGTTGATTCCTCTCGTGTCTTCCTGGGCAGTCATTGCACTTGCCAGTCCCGTATTTGGTTCAAGTGTGCTTCCCCGGGCTGTACCAGCCAATCCTACCGTCACAGTCACTAATGGAACATACGTCGGATACAATGATGCGGTTCTCAACACAGACAACTTCTACAGCATTGCATACGCGCAGCCACCAGTTGGCGAGTTGAGATTCAGACAACCTCAGCCCTTGAATTCTTCCTGGAATGGGTCTCGCGACGCCACCCAACGGCCTAATGCATGTATCGCTTACGGTACGCCGGCTCTGTTGCTGTTCATCCATTCTTGCTCTAGTACTGACTTTCTTTAGGCAACTCACCTTCCTTGAATGACACCGTTATGTCTGAAGACTGCCTCTACCTGAACATTATACGACCATCAAATGTAACCATTGAGAATCTTCCAGTACTTGTAAGTTGAAACCGAGCCTTTTCAGCGCTGTGATCGTGCTAAACCTTTGTAGGTATACCTGATCCAAGGGGGCTTCTCTAATGGTGGCAGCGGTTGGGATGATCGCTACAACATGACATGGCTCGTGCAAAGATCCGCAGCTATTGGACACCCAATTATTGCTGTTGCCATCAATTCTCGCCTGGATATGTGGGGTTTCATGTACAGTCAAGAGATTCAAGATTCTCTCGACACGAACTTGGGTCTTCGCGACATGCGATCTGGACTCGAGTGGATCCAGGACAACATTGCCGCTTTTGGAGGAGATCCTTCAAGAGTAACTATTCAAGGCCAAAGCACTGGCGCTCAATCTGTTGGCTTGCAAGTCATAGCATATGGTGGAAACAACAACAATCTTTTCCACCGCGCGATAGAGCAGAGCGGAGCCCCGGTTTGGTTCGCACCGATCGGCAACGTCGCGCTCTGGCAACCTCAGTACGATCTCATTGTCAACGCGACCAATTGTACCAACAGTACTAACACTCTCGCCTGTCTCCGATCAGTACCATTTGAAGACATCAATAGCATTTTCAACTCATCGTTGAATATCGTTGGTCACGACGCTCCTTTCGAGTATGGCTCGGTAATTGATGGTGATTTCATACCAAAGGCACACAGCGTTTTGTTGCAGGAAGGCAAATTCGCTCGAGTCCCCGTTCTCATTGGCACGAACTTTGACGAAGGAACCTTCATCGGCCCAAAGGGCGTAAATTCAACGGAGGATTTGAACGAATTCTTGTTACAACAAATGGATCTAGACAACAATACTCTGGCCACTATTGGCTATTTGTATCCTGATATTCCCAGCATTGGGTCCCCATCGACGTACGCCGGCCGACCTCCAGCAAGCAAAGCTCTTGGCTCGCAGTTTAAACGCGCAGTTCCTCTGGCGACTGACATCAAGATGGACGCCCCAACTCGTTTATACACTCTTGCGATGGCGCAGTACAATAACACTGTGTACCGTTACCATTGGGATGTTCTGGTCAACGGCGTCCCATCTTCTACTGGCGCAACGCATTTTGCTGAATTCTCGTTTCCTTACTACAATATTAATGGCGAAGGATACGAGATCCAGGGAAGCGAGAACCCCCAAGGAGGAGTGAACCACCCAAAGTACAAAGCTTTGTCCGACCGCATGAGTGCGATGTGGCTAGGTATGGTCTACCATGGCGACCCCAACTCGATTATTGAAAACCTTGATCCATCAGTCGCACACTGGCCAAAGTACGAATTGCCCGACCCGCAAAACTATATCTTCACAATCAACGAGACTTTCCATACCGCACCAGATACACATCGTGCAGAGGCTATTAACTACCTGATGGACATCATGATAGCTTCACAGGCACGGAACTGTACAAGCCCTCAGGCTTGTGGAGCGGCATCTGATATATTGACTGGAGAGACAAGCGGGCTGCCAGGGTACTCAAACTGATTAATCGTACATGAGGCTTCATGAGACTAAGAAAGAGGACAGACCAGAGATTTGCTTCGCAATCTGCAAAAGTATTTCCTGAGGGACCTTTCACAAAAGCTGATCGATCGGATTCTTGGCGGACTCTAGAAGACCATTTGTTATTCTTCTATCTGTGAATGATAAACCCGATGAGAGTGTTCAAGTTGGTGCTCTCGTTCAAACTCTCAACAATGCGTGAAATGAACCCTTGTTTATTTACATGAGGCAACTGCCCCTCACCCCTCACTCCGCCCCCCTTTTTCCTTCGCTTAATATCGACCCCGCTTCCAGCCCACACCTGCAATTCAGCCGGCATAGCAGCACACATGAAAATAAATAAATACCAACAAAAAGTTAAACTTTGGATGTTTGTTTATAGGATTTTTGCAAAAAACTGGAAAAAAATGAATTCACAACCGGATCGAACAGGTCAGAGGTATTGAACCACACCCGATTTGAACGGATAACCTTTCGATGTTTAATCTTAACCAATCGAGGAGAGATGAAGATATACTTTGACATCTTCACAACCTTTCGATGATCTGGAATCGAACGCGCTGCCGTTGCGCCAGCGGTCCTTGACCTGTTGAGCTTGTCATGTTTTTTCATGCTGACATTTCCTTATTCTTGTACATGAAAGGGCGAAGGGGGGTGGGGAAACAGAGATTTGATATTGTGGGTCATGTGGGGGGATAAAAGCGTGATGTTAGGTCTAAATTATTTTTCTTTTGATTCCGTAATTGGGGAGAAGAATATAAATGAACGTTCCGTTGTGCTACTGCTCGAATCCTTGTGGAGTATCTCACTTCGAGATCTGGTGGCATGATCATCCAGTGGCACCCGGCCAGTAAGCCAGAGGTTATTCATCGATGATTTTCCAGATATCGAGAGAGTGACCATGGGTATTTTCGAAATACAAATCAATATGCTGTCTCAATAAGAAGGGGACATCTAATTTGTGAGAATGTAAAGAAGGAAGAGCTCGCCAGGTTAAGCGAGCTAGGATTATGATCGGCATCAACACAATAAAACTCTCTTCCATCCTCCACGGGAGCAGATCACCCAAAGAAACAATGGGTTGGATGGTTCAAATAAGTTATACAGATACTAAGCACCGCATTCCACACTTAAAACTTACTGCGAGGATGTTAGCCTGTCGTGGGTGTTGATGTGTATACCTGTCACTTGGGACTGATGCAAATCCAGCGTCGCTCGGACTCCATTGGTGCTAGTATGAGTCGGATCCTATTATTTGTTTCTGATCTGCTTGGTGCAATCCATATTCCTACCCTCATCTGAGCTGCGGTCTTCTAAATTGTATGAATTTAACGAGGCATCATCACCCATGTACATAATGTTCCCCACGAATACCCATAAGATCCTTTCCAAGTCCTTCACAAGCCCAGGTAAGGCTTAAAAACTAGCTAGTAAGCGTAGTACAACACATTCTCATCTTCTGACTCCTGCTTAATCTTCTTGTTCTCACGCTGGAGTGCGAATCGCAAACCCCACGCAGCAGCAGCGCACGCGAACGAGAAAGCAGCCGAGGTACCCATGGCAAGGGTATATCTTCCATTATAATCGTTCGTCCAAAGATATGGAGTCCAAATAAAGCTGATATTCGAAGTCGACACAATGATGGACAATGCGACTGCACGCTTCTCCTTGGTCTGTCCGCACGTGGCACCGACCCATCCTAGGATGATACTGTTCACGGCATAGGTACCAATCGCAAAAATAATCATCGAGACGTAGCGAGCTGCAACGTTGTTGACTGTGAACGCAAGGATGAACCCAAGAATCGCGATCGCTTTTGCAGCGGTGATGTGCCAGGTTCGCTCGTTAAAGTGCCCGGATTGCCATGACCAATAAACAGAAATTGCTCCTGCAATGAGATAAGGTGGGCAGGTGAGCGCGAGAGTGATCGTTCGATTGAAATTCAAGCCCTCGACGACGGATGGGAAGAAGTTCTTGAAGCCTACTCACATTTCTAGTATCAGCTGCTGTTGAGACGCGATTGTAAAATCGGAGTGACTAGGACAAAATTACCATTGGAAGCCAGATGCATGTGCTGCATGAAAACAAAGATCCAGACACGGTAATCTTTCAATGCCTCCTTTAACCCTTTGATAGTTGAGATTTTCCCTTGCTCTTCAACAGTATCAGCCTTGATGCGGTTATTAGCGAGGATCCGCTCCTCGGGTGTCAGCCAGCGAGTGACGGTAGGGTCATCTGGAAGCAGATAACCTCCCAAGATTGCAACGAAAAAAGTGACAAGCCCTTGAATGATGAAGAGCCAGCGCCAACCTTCCAGTCCTGCTGCGCCGTCGAGCTTGAATACCCCAATGGCAATGAGACCAGCAAATGCAGTAGCCAGAATGTTTCCGGTGTAGAGGACGGAGATGCGTAATGCTACTTCCTTGCGAGTGTAGAAGATGGACAGAAGATAGAGTGCTCCAGGATAGAATGGTGCCTCGGTCAAACCAAGGAAGAATCGAGTCAGAAGAAGCCCTGTGAAGTTCTTGGAGATTCCGGTAAGTGTAGAAACGATAGCCCAGAGGACCATAGCAGAGCCCAGGTAGTATGACGGCCGGATTCTTGTAATCAACATGTTGGAAGGAATACCGCCGAGAATATAGCCGACGAAGAGGATGGAGACACAGGTCGAGTATTGAGTTGGAGAGAGACCAAGATCTTCGTCGACATCGTCCAGTTTTGCGAGAGCAATAGCATTTCGATCGAGGTAATTGAGCCAGAACATTAACCAGATGATCGGCTGTATTCTGTTAAGAAATGTTATGGCAATAAATGACGGAGGGCCGTGTGTGGGACTTCGAGAGAGCGAGGAGAAGCAGATGAACATCTGAGACATACCATAATTCTGTAATCGAGCTTCCTGACCAGGGCTTTCTCTTCGGGACTTTGCTCGAGCACTGCACCAGAGTAATCTCGTTTCGCTCCTGTATGCTCGGCATCGTGCTTGCTGATATCCTCGTCTTGAACTGCAACGCCCATGAAATCGTCATTCTTTTTCATGACGGCCATGATGAACCTCAGAAGCAAAATCGAAATCTGGAAAAGCAGATAGATAATCCGAAAAGATTGCTGTAGAGAGAAGAAGAGGAAGTTTCAGACAGGCAACCGAACTTGATATGGTGAGTTGATGTTCTTGAGAAAGGATCAGCAGCTATATACCAGGTCAGGCATTAGTGAAATCCGGGGCCCCATGGAGAAAGGTTCAGGAGATAGTGACAACTACGGTCCCAAGTGGTTGGATTCATTTCCCGGCGTCTGTCTAGCGGGGTGTACAAGTCCGTCGACCCGCAAAGAGGCGTAAATCGGTACTGGGTCTGACAGTGGTGGGAACTTTGCGTTAAGATGGTAACACCATATTAGGCGATCAAAGTTTCGAGTAGCAAGCAGATCAGGAGAGTTGAAGGGTACACGGCCAGAATTGCAGTCGCTTGCCACCAGATCGGTGCAGCCATCTGTCGAATCGATAAATTTTGATTGTCAGGTGTCAATGCTAAGGCTAGAACACTGCGAAATAGAGACCGCGTCCATACTGTTGGATACTCGACGGTTTTCAGCATCTTGGCAAGGTAAAGAATAAACCGGAGGCGTTCACTTCGAAGCGGAATGCTAGAGGAGCAACATAGAAATGTTGGCGTGCGTCCCCACACCCGTTGTCCTCCAGAATAAAAGCAAGGTCTGAGGTTGAGGCCGAATGATTGGACTTACTATACAACAGAATGATGCTTCGTAATTTGTTCTCGGACTCCAGGTTTTGAGAGGCACTTCTCGACCACCCGTAATGGTTGACTGGTCTTCGGTCCAGTTAGCAACATCGCCTCTATGTCCCATTCCTTCAATCACTTACCTGAATCGATATGACTCTTTATCAATTGGGGCCAGTTACAAGGCCTACAATGCCCACCTTGTGTCTAGGATTCTCCATTGCCTGTCATATCAAAGTACCAAATTCAGGGTTGACGCTACCAAATGCCAGGGAGCTAGATTCAGCTGCAGCATTCCCAACGCATTTCACGATCGAAAGATCGAGTCCATGCTTGGCACTTTATCACACGGCACCACGGTAAACGTTTACCAGCAATTTGAATTCCACGGTGTTGTCTTCCCCGCAGCCACCCTTGGCATCGAGCATGAGTGAGGAGCAGCGAACGTCCACTTCCCTCGCTTGGCAGTTCACCTCAACCTTCATTCTTGACATCTGCGCTAGTAGCATTAAATGGATGTGCTTGATCGAATCCTGGACGAGAGGAGGTCAGTCAGGCTCTGATAATGAAGGTGTGTAAGTGCGACGTACCATCCAGCACTTTCACCTGCCTCTTTAATATCCATAAATTCACGAGCACATATACTAGCCAAGACACTGGCAGTATCTTTCATATACTCACATCGTAAGGCCTCGTCTACTTTGATACTGAATGGATTGCCTCTCTTACAGAATTCCCTCTATGACTTTCATCTCCAATAATCTCTCTCGCCACTCAGCATACCAGTAGCTTCCTGCCCCATCTTCCCAACCACAATCTTCCCTTTCCCTCGGACCAAAAATTGGCCATCTTTAACCCCACCAACGACTCCACCACCGTCCCGATCCCAAACAATCTTTCCCCTCAAGATCGTATACCTCGGCCAGTTTCTTACAGTCATCCCTTCGTACGGGGTGTAATCTACACCATGATGAAGCATCTTCTGCTCAATCACGACCCCTCCCTCAATCTCATTCTCCGGATACCATATCACCAAATCAGCATCACATCCAGGCGCAATATTCCCCTTCACACCTTCTAATCCATAAAGCTTCGCTGGATCCGAACTGGTTAATTGCACAAAACGCTGCAGGCTCAATCGCGAAGTCTTTTCTTGTCCGGCATGGCTGAAGAGTAACGGTAATCTTGTCTCAACACCTGGCACTCCATTCGGGATACTCTTGTACGTCATGATCCCATCTTTCAGACCGAGTTTCTTTCCTCCTGAATGATCATAGGTGGAAGGTGCATGATCTGAGCTGAAAGTCGTGAAGGTCCCGTTTGCAATTCCTTGCCACATGGCATCTAGATCCTTTGGGTCGTGGCGGAGAGGAGGACTACATACGCACTTCGCACCCTCGAATGGATCTTGCTCGTTACCCTTCAGTCTCTCGCTGAGAAGGAAGAGATACTGTGGGCAGGTCTCTGCATGGATAGGTAACATCCGCGTCTGCGCTTTCCGGACATGCTTCATCGCGACCTCGGAACTCATGTGCACGATCAAGATTGGTGTGTCTGTCAGTTCTGCGAGACTGATGATGCGGTATGTTGCTTCGTTCTCGGCGATTTGAGGCCGAGATATGGCGTGGAAGTAAGGCTCGCTGTGGCCGGCTGCTTCGAGACGGGACGTGATGAGTGAGATGATGTCGCTGTTCTCAGCGTGAACCATGGTCGTGAAGCCTAACGAACGGGCCGACATCAGGACGTCAAGGATGGCAGCATCTCCAAGTTTGAGAGGCTCATATGTCATGTAAAGCTTGACAGATGTGATCCCTTGTGACATCAAGATCGGAAGTTCCTTG